GGTAGTAAACAAAAATTCACGGCCCATGACCTTTCCATGACTTGTATAATATACCCTGGACTAAATCCTGGGTGCTCTAGATCCGGGGGCACCATGGGTGCTCTGGGGCAGGGGGCAGCCTGGGGGCACCGCTGGTGCTCTGGGGCAAGGGGCAGCCCGGGACTGCCGCTGGTGCTGGGCGGGGGGACGCCGGTGCACAGCCCAAGACTGCCGCTGTTGCTGGGAGAGGTGGTGGGGGGGCACGGTGGTCCGAGACTGCCTTAGCAGCAGCCGGTGCGGCTGGCTTGGGGGCTGCCTGAGCTGTTTGGGTGGCCCCCAGGCCAGCCTTACCGGCTGGTGCAGAAGTCACGGAGGTCCCAGAAAGTCACGAGACATTGATATTGTAGTACCTAGAGGCCAAGCAGGTTGGTCCCCCGTTGCACTAGGTGCCCATACACACATATCATAAATGACAGACAGTACCCCAAAGAGGTTCACCTCCTCAATCCAATACAGTGCTAGAAGCCCCCACTAAACTGTCCCTTGCTACTTGTACATAACTCCATATCAGCTCTCTGTGGTCTGTTGGTTAAGTGGTAAAGACTGAAAGGTAGGTCCCCTGTATTCAAGGCCTAGCTCTGCTCCTGATTCATTTTGGGCCAGACAGGACCATTAGATTAACTAGTCTGACCTGTATAACTCAGGCCTTAGAATTTCATCCAGTTACTCCTGTACTGAGCCCAACTCTGTGTGCCTCAGTTTCTCCATCTGTGAAATGGGGGTAACGATACCACAAACTGGAAGGGGGTGGGGGTTGGGAGGCTTTGGGGGTTTGGAAAGAACTTTGTAATCCTTGGATGAAAGGTGCTACAGAGATGCAAAGACTCACAGTACTATTAATAATCCTTGACATGAAGCTGTCATACTGTTCATTAGTATGGATAGGCCTAAGGGAATAGATGCTACAGCACAACGCACAGTAGCTGTCACAATAACTCAGGCATTTACATTGTTCTCTTTAAAAATAAATACCACAACAGCCTGGTCCAAGTTGCTGGAGCCATGACATCTAGCATTTTATTTTATTCGGAAAATGCATTGATTTGCAAGACACATGCATAAGACAGCGCATGAAATTGACGGAAATTTCTCCCCACACACACACACTTTGTATCTTATATATTATTATTATTCATTTGCATTCCTCTCTCTCTCTCTCTCTCTCTCTCTCTCTCTCTC